ACCGTCCTCATGCACAACGCAAAGCAGTGTTTTGCAGGTGGCGGGCTGGCGCAATCCAATTCTTTCCTGGTCAGTCAGCTCATGTGCGCTGACGACGCCACCATCGTCGGAGCAGGGGAGAGAGTACGTGTGCCAGCTGATGGAGTGCGTTCGCGAGGCGGGGAGTATTTACGGGCTGGGTTTCAATCGCGTCAAACTCGAGGTGTTTTCGGTGAGATGCGAGACGTGCATGGCCCGACCAGACGGGGCAGCAATTCCAATTATGTTTCGAGCAAGAAGCAGCAACGACCCACTGCACACCGACAACGAACGACTTTACAAAGGTGCATCTGTCGCGGAACGGAATGCCTCTCGGAGGTGTTGAACAAATGATCCTTAAACGGACTCGGGCCTCGAGCGAGGGACAACATGGTCTATCTGGATGGGTTACTGAACGCCGACGGCGGCAGCGGCCTTGAGCTGATCCGACTGATTGACATGCTATACCAACAGTTCCACGCTGGGTGCAAGATTCGGAAACATCCGATAATCCCAATGATCAAGAAGGTGCGTGCGGATCTTCCAGCCGTGCGTCGTTCCCGATCTGATGTATGCACACTTCTGTGGTTCCAAAGCTGGATGGTTTCCAAGCGCGCTGCCTCCGAAAATTGGCCGGCACTGCGCATTCGTTCATCAGTCACGTCTCGCGTCCACGCCCACTGCAGCTGTGAGACATCAAGTCAAGCAGCCACCTAGCATACCAGCGAATGGCGCTTCTGGGGGAAGCGGCCCGGATGCCGGACGACAGCGCTGTCGGGCGCTGCATTTTCGCCCGGGGGTCATTTTGTCTGTCTCGCTTCGGAGGTCGCCGGACACGCGGCGAGCCGGAGAGCACGTGGAAGCGGAAGGTATTCGCCACGGCCCGCATAGCAGCCGGCAGCGAGGACAGACGGCTCGAAACATGGCAGGGGAGCGCACAGGACTTGGCGACACGCAGCGAGCAATGTCTGCTCGCAGACTGCAATGGAAGTCATTCTTTCTCAGTCTGTGCACTGCTGCCGGTGCACCTCTGCCGTGCATGGCGCACTCTCTCGTCGTCGACACCAGCCACCCGAACACCAGCAGCCGATCGGGCAGGGCACGTACGGCAGGTTCGTGTCGTGTCGACCCAGGCGTTGGTTCCTGACACATTGGGGGCCGCTCAACCTTGAACAATCGGGAGTTTCCGAAACGCCAGCTCGTTCAACAGCGACCGGCTCTGGGTTGCCGGCGGCGTCCCACCAGGAACGCCAACCGGCGGGGTCGCCGCCAGTCGACACGACGCGAACCTGCAGTAAGGCACCGACTCGCGCCGCAGCGGCAACCCCAGCCCGCGCGGCGCCGCAGCTCCCAATCACCACGTCGGGGACGGCCGCGGCGCTGGCGAAGACCCTTGAGGTCGCCTTAGGTGGCCTCGGGGTGGCCCGTTGGCGGCGCTGCTCCAACGGCCCGTGGCGCTGCCACTGCGGCCGCCCCCTCGTCGGGTTCGTCACAGACGGCGCCTGCCTGCTCAAGGCCGGGCGCCGTGCTGCCCCAGCTCCTGCCCGCCACCCCATCCTCCTCCTCCTCCTCCTCCTCCTCCGAGCCTCCTCCTCCTCCTCCTCCTCCTCATCCTCCCCTCCTCCTCCTCCTCCTCCTCCTCCTCCTCCTCCTCTCCTCCTCCTCCCTCCTCTCCTCCTCCTCCTCCTCCTCCTCCTCCTCCTCCTCCTCCTCCTCCTCCTCCTCCTCCTCCTCCTCCTCCTCCTCCTCCTCCTCCTCCTGCCTCTCCTCCTCCTCCCCCTCGCGGCAGCCGGCCGCCCGCCGCCCGGTGGCCGAGGCCGGGGCCGGGAGAGAACCTGGGAGCCCCTCGGGGCAGGGAGCCCCTCGCGGAGGAAGGCGGCGCCGCGCGGCCCCTGCCGCGGCCCCCCCCGGGGACGGCGGGGAGGAGGAGGAGGAGGAGGAGGAGGAGGAGGAGGAGGAGGAGGAGGACTGGCCCCATCACCTCAGGTCGCCACGTCGGGGACGGCGTCGGGCGCGGGGGCGGCCTCCGCGGCCGCCGAGCCTCCGGCCGCGCCCTTGTGGCTGCGCCGGCGGCAGCCGCAGCTGCAGGCCAGGATCTCCCACGCTCCGCAGCGCAGCGCACCCCGCCGGCCACGCTCTCGGGCGGCCGGAGGACGCCCCCGGCACCGCCCCCCATAGAAGAAGGGAAAGCGGCATGAACAGAGCCAGCACTCCGCGCGGACTTCTTGGATCCGCGCTTGGCCCCCTCCCTGGCGCGCGTGGCGCGCCAGGGGCGGCGCCGGAGGCGCCGCTGGGAGGGCCCAGCACGGATCCAAGAAGTCCGCGCGGAGCGCTGGCAGTGTTCACGGCGTTTTCCCTTCTTCGACCCCAGGCGTGCACGAGAAGCCCACGACCAGCACCGCCGCGCGCAAGGCGCCCAGCCATGGCCAGCACGCCCGACCACACTGGCACCAGAGCCCGCCGTCGGGCAGCTCAGCTCGACTCCGCACGCCTAGCTGCCCGCCCGCGCCTCGGGGCGCCACGCCTGTTGCCGAACAACCTGTCAGCCCGACATCCAAGGCCCGCCGTCGAGCGCGCACCCGAAGGGCAGCGCCGCTGAGACAGCCGGGAAAGTTCCGGGGCTTGAGCCAAAAGGGCTACGGCGATGAGTGAGTCTGGACACAGACTTAGAGTCTTAGTGCGAGTGAGTGTGAGCATGTGTGAGTCTGCATCAGAAAAGGAGTACGGGGAGAGGGAGCCGAGGTGTGCGTCGGAGGCGTCGGAATAACGAAAAGAAGCCCAACTCAGGATATGGCAAACTGATCAAGTTCCCAAAAGGCCCTCCGCGTTGGCCCAAGATGGCCTCAGGACGGCTCGGGAAGCCGCCCACACCGCCCAAGGGAACCCCGAGAGGGCCTCCAAAGCTGAAGGATCGTGGAGATGCCCCTTGGGATGTTGACGGAGAGTTCGGCGCTCCTGCCACTCCAGGCTCCTGAGCGCCCAAGAAGGGTCTGAAAGAGCTCAAGAGAATCCCAAACCAGCCCAGGAGCGCCCCGAGAGGGCGCCCAAAGGACCTCTCCTGGGGCGCGTCTGGCCAAGACCTCGAGGAGAAGCCAACCGCGGTGACGAAGCCCCTCCGGGACGGGCAGCGGCCTCGGCACCTTCCCCTGAGATCCGACGCCACAACAGAATGCAGCCTCGGGGGAAAACTCCACCAGGAGCCCTGGGCCCAGCCTGCCTGCTTCACTGTGCAGACCAAACCGACCTGTGGAGGCCTCCCAGATAAGGTCGGACTATAGATGGGGTCGGGGGATCGCGCCGCATCGCCGATGCATCGGCGATGCATCGGCGATGCACCGGCGATGCGTCGTCCACGCGGGGACGCCGGCGCGGAGAAAATCGGGCTCCGCATCGGGCATGCATCGGCGACGCGGCGCGATCCTCCGACCACATCTGCTCGGACCCAGTCTGGGAGGCCTAGATCATTTTCCGAGGCTCCAGGGGCCCGAAACATGTCAATCGCCAGCTGCGGAATTGCTCTGCGCGGGTCCTGATTTTCCCGACGCGGGGCCCCAAGAAGTCCCGACCCTTCCCTTATTAGACGAGCGCGCTCCACTACTCACAAAGAAACTACTCTACGGGGCGTGAAAACGACCACAGCCACTGCTCTTCTTTTGTTGCCGCCCACCAGCCCGCAGAAAAAAGCAGTGGTTGTGGTCATTTTCGTTGAGCTTGGCACCAAGGGAATGACCAAAGCCACTGCTTCTTTTCCGACCGGCTGGAAGGCGGCGCAGACAAGAAGCAGTGGCTGTGGTATTTTTCCCGTCCCGCATACTCGCAAATGGCCTGGATCCGCCGTGGGGGATCTACGCTAAGTTACGTCGAGGAAGACAGGATGCGTGTCGGACGTTTCGGGCGAAGAGAACTATGCACATGCACCGATCCTGGCAAGGCCCATCTTGACCCAGGATCGGTGCATATGCCTTCCTGGCCAAGGCAGGAAGGCGTATGCACCGATCTTGGGCTCAGGGTGGGCCTGGCCAGAATCGGTGTATGTGCATAGTTCTCTTTCCTCTAACGTTTGCGAGCATGCATTTTACGAGTCGTGGAACGCGCTCGTTGATTCATAGGGCGGGCCTTTCGCCCCGAGTCGCTTCCTGACGGCCCCGGGGGCCGCGGCAGGCCCCCCAAAGGCCGGGGGCCGCCACACAGAAAGCCTCCCGCCGTGCCTGCTCTGCGAGGCGAGCACTGGCCGTCGCCCGGACGTCCGTTCCCCGCGTGCTTCTTTCGGCGTCGTGCATCTTTCGCCCGCTCGATGCTCCCGGAGGCCCCGTCGGTGGACCAGACAAAGACAAGGCACAGCCCCACCTGCGGGCCCCACGGGCCGTGGCGTATGCCGGGACGCCTGGCGCGGGTTGTCGCATGGTGTACGCCACGCCCCCCGATGGGCCGTATATGCGGGACGGGAAAATGACCACAGCCACTGCTTCTTGTCTGCGCCGCCTTCCAGCAGGCCGAAAAAGAAGCAGTGGCTGTGGTCATTCCCTTGGTGCCAAGCTTCACGAAAATGACCACAACCACTGCTTTTTTCTGCGGGCTGGAGGGCGGCAACAAAAGAAGAGCAGTGGCTGTGGTCGTTTTCGCGTCCCGTAATATACCGCACCATGGCAGGCCGCAGGTGGGGTGGCGTCGCTTTTGTTTTTGTTGGGGGGCCGCGCCGGTGGCCCTCGCCGAGGCACAGTGACGACCTACCAGACCACCCCAACCCGACCCGAAGGCCCGCATTTCGGGCTGGGGGGGGGGGCAAGGGTTCTCTACATGTGCTTTGGTCCGATGTGCCCCGACCCCCCCACTCCCACTGGACACCGAGGGCACATCCGAGCCTTCGGGTTGGGCTGGGGGGTGGTTTGGCGGGTGGTGAAACCGTGCGCTCACGCCCGAGCGAGGCCGAGTCCTCCGCGACGCGAGCCCCGCCCGCCGGGGCCCCCCCCCTCCGGCAGGGCCTGCTCGTGCCCGAACTGGGCCGCGACCCGCACTGGCGCGAGCCCCCCGTGCGTCGGCCCGCCGGCGTCCGCCCCGGCGCCGCAGAGGCGCCCGGCGACCGCGGCGTGCCCGTTCTGCGCCGCCATGCCGAGGGGCGTCGCGCCGTCCGGCGGCGCCTGGGGGCCTCCCCGAACGGGGAGGCCGAGCAGCCGGGGGGTCTGGGGTCCCGCCGCGGCCTCCCCCTCCCCTCTCCTGCCCCTCCTCCTGCTGCTCCTCCTCCTCCTCCCCCTCCTCCACCTCCTCCTCCTCCGCCGCCTCCGCCTCCTCCGCCGCCTCCCCCTCCTCCTGCTCCCCCTCCTCCTCCTCCTCCTCCACCTCCTCCTCTTCTTTGTCTTATTATGTTTTTTCTTCTTCCTCCTCCTCCACCTCCACCTCCTCGTTCCGCTTTGCGCTCCTCGCACGGAAGCTCCATGAGAAACCACAGGGATCCACGATACACCAAAATCTCGCCAACCAAGCAAGACCAGAGACTCCACCCTGATCGCCGACACTCCGCTACTCCGAATCCTCCAAGCGGAAATCCCCTCTTTCGGCCATGCCCTCATAGTGCCCCTGGACCCAGCCGACGCGGCGGGTTTGGAGCGGGGAAGCCACTGGGCTGGACCGAGGGATGGGTTGCTTGGAGGTGGGCTCCGAGCAGCTGGTGTCGATGAGACCAATGAGCCGATGAGACCAACGGGCCTGGGCAAGTTTAGCTGGGACTCCAGCGCATCTCGATCTAACAAGACGGGCACGAGTCTGATAGCTGAGCCCACAGGCAAGACATCCCCAGCGGCCGTTCTGCATCTTCACATGATGCCCTTAATGATGCGAGACCAGGACGCGAGGATATCCTCCTCCTCTTCCTCCTCCTCCTCCTCCTCCTCCTCATCATCATCATCATCATCATCATCATCATCATCATCATCATCATCATCATCATCATCATCATCATCATCATCATCATCATCATCATCATCATCATCATCATCATCATCATCATCATCATCATCACATCATCAGCAGCATCATCATCATCATCATCATCATCATCATCATCATCATCACCATCATCATCATCATCATCATCATCATCATCATCAGCATCAGCATCATCATCATCATCATCATCATCATCAGCATCAGCATCATCATCATCATCATCATCATCGTCATCGTCATCGTCATCGTCATCGTCATCGTCATCATCATCATCATCATCATCATCATCATCATCATCATCATCAGCATCATCATCATCATCATCCTCATCCTCATCACCATATTCCTCCTCCTTCTCCTTCTCCTCCTCCTCTTCCTCCTCCCAACTACTAAGATGATCCCAGGAGGTCAAGCGCGGGCCAAGATAGCCTACGACAGGCCTCCAAGAGGCCTCAAGACACCAACAAGACGGTCCAAGATTTAATAGCTGAGCATGGCTCAGAATAGCCTCAGACAGCCTCTAGCCGAACGTTCCGACCAAACCCTATGCGCCAGGCGGTCGGTGGTCACGAAGGCAGCTCCATCCCACGAGGCGTTCTGGCGCGGAAAACGGTTCGCCGCATCCCTCCCTCCCTCCCTCCCTCCCTCCCTCCCTCCCTCCCTCCCTTCCCCCCTCCCTCCCTCCCTCCCTCCCTCCCTCCCTCCCTCCCTCCCCCCTCCCTCCCTCCCTCCCTCCCTCCCTATCCCTCCCTCCCTCCCTCCCTCCCTCCCTCCCTCCCTCCCTCCCCCCCCTCCCTCCTCCCTCCCTCCCTCCCTCCTCCTCCTCCTCCTCCTCCTCCTCCTCCTCCTCCTCCTCCTCCTCCTCCTCCTCCCTCCTCCTCCTCCTCCTCCTCCTCCTCCTCCTCCTCCTCCCTCCTCCTCCTCCTCTCCTCCTCCGTTCCTCCCTCCCTCCCTCCGTCCCTCCCTCCCTCCCTCCTCCCTTCTCCTCTGTCCTCGGATGCACTGCCGATGCATCGGCGACGTGGGGGCGGAGGACATCGGGCTCCACATCGCGCCGCGTCATTCGAGATGCGGCTTGGTCCTCCGACCCCGCCTAATTACTCGCATCCAGTTTGGGAGGCCCGGGGCGCCAGGGCGACGTCGGCCGAGGCTTCGCAGAGGATGCCGGCCACGGAGGCGTTGCCAGCCTGAGCGAGGGATCTGCACGCGGCAGGCTCGTGTCCCCTGTCGGCGGCGACCCCGGGGGGGAAGCGGAGGGGGGCAGGCCTTCTCAAAGGTGGCGGGAAGTTTCAGAAGCCCGCGCGCCTTCTGAGAAGTGGTCTGTGGCTTCGGAGAAGGTTGCAAGGTCTCTCAGAGACCGCGCGGGCCGCTTTCTGAGAAGGCCTGCCCCTCTCACTATCGCTGACTTCCCTCCCAGGCTCGCCACCAACCCTGAGAGTCTGGCGTCGAATGTCTTTCGCACTGGGCGATCTCGCCTTGTATCGGGCATCGGAGCCTTATCAGATCGATCTGGCTCGAAAAAAACGCAGCAGAAAGATGGGGTCCATGGATGCGGGCGGGATGTTTCGCTGAGCTGCAGTGGCTTCGCAGCGTGGGATCGCGGGGTTGAGTTCTAACGCCGCGTGGGTCGTTCAGCCTCGAGCGATCGGCGGCTTCTGCATCGCAGGAGCGCTCCGTATGATGGCCGATTCCGGGCCACTGGCGGCGTGGAACCGTGGACCCCCGCGCGGGGGTCGCCGCGGCGTCGGTTCGCCACGAACCTGCCGCAGGGCCCGGAGTCCTGCTCCCGCCCCCGGACAGCGCGCCTCCGCGCTCCTGGCCGACCCCCCCCTCCTGCATCTCGCCGCCACTGCGGAGTGGTGAGCTTGAGGGGGGAACGGAACGAGACTGCAGACGAGAACTAGAGGCTTCCTGATGGGGTCGGAGTAGATGGGGTCGGAGGATCTCGCCGCATCAGCGATGCATCGGCGATACATCGGCGACGCGCTGGCGATGCATCGACGACGTCAGCGACGCATCGGCGACGTCGGCGTGGGGAAACACGGGCTCCGCATCGAGCCGCATGGCTGGTGCCTCGGCGATGCGGCGCGACCCTTCGACCCCACCTGGGAGGCCTAGAAGGGTGGAGCCCTCAAGACCCGCCCGCGCCAAATCGAATCGAGAATCGCACAGGGATCTGCCTACGGAAAGCTCCCGTCGTGACGGCCCTCGCGCTGGCGTCGGACACGGCGCGGGTCGTGGAGCCCCAGAAGTGCTGGCGCTTCACCGTTTTGATCGTTCTTGACCGCGTTCGGCCTCCAACGGAGCCTTTTACTGGGCCCCGGGGCCGTCGCAAACTTGCTCGGGATGTACGACTGTAAGACGAAGCCAAGAAGAGGATGACATCGGGTGAGGATACATCGGGGATCTCTGAGCTCCAGCAGCTCTGGAAGATGTCCCTTTGGTTGGCCCGAGAGGGGGTCCAGCTGAAAAGGCGTGGTGCAATAGTTTTTGGGGCAACTCTGTTGCACATCTATTGCGCTGGAGAAGTGGTTTGAACTGCAGTGCATCGAATGTACTGCACGCGAAAATCCAGCAATACGCTTGCGAAGCTGAATGTACTACGCGCCCCCAATCTACTGCAACCCCAAGCATCGATTGCACCAAATCTCTTGCACCACCCCCTTTCGGCTGGGCCCCCATTTGCGTCGAGCAGAGTCTCGGACGCCGCGGCCTACTCCAGATCTCGTAACAAAAGGGAGGGGGTCTGGACCCTCCAAGACAGGCCGCTTCAGGCCTCCCCCGTGGGAGAACCCTCCAGAACATCGTCCTCAGACCCCCCAGGCCCTCCAAGATAGCCTGGAATTGGAGGCCTGGAAATTGGCACCAACACCAACACAGGGGGTTGCCTCCACAGGGGAAAGATGATCCTTGATTTCGGTGTTGGTGGTAATACGTCGGTCACCTTGGAAGCCATGATATTACCACCATCGCCGAGATCGGGATCTTCTTTCCTCGGTGGAGGCACACCGCCGATGTTGGTGTTGGTGTCAACCTCTAGGCCTGCGATGGAAGAGAACCCCCCCGAAATGAGACCCCCCTCCCTAATAGTACGAAATCTGGGGTACTCGGAGCGCTCCGAAACGCTCCGAGAGCGGCCCCGAAGGCTCGGCAAACGGGTGCTGCCCTCCTCGCCCTGGCCCCGAGGGCCGAGGCCGGCCCTCGGGAGAGGCTTGGGGCCCTCCGTATAGGGGGCCACACGCGAAGCCTATAAGCCCTATACCCCCCACGAGTTCTGCGGGGGTGGTCGAAGCCAATCTGGCGCCAATCTGGCAGGCCCAATCTGGCAGACAAACGGGGGCCATCTGGCGAGGGAGCCAACGCGAATCCAGTCTGGCGAGTAACCCAAATCCTCCAATCTTGCCAGGCCAGATTGGCCCTTGGGGCCCAATCCAGTCTGACAGTCTGGCCTTCGACTACCCAGTCTGAGGGGGAGGGGGGGCTCACTTCGTCCCCTAACCCCCCCGAGCGAAGTGCGCCCCACCCTCCCCCAACAGAGCTCGCGGGGGGCATGGGGGTATAGGCTTCGCGTGTGGCCCCCGTCTTCTGGGGGCCGCGCGCTGCACCAGCCGAGGCCCCGGAGGCAGCCCGGGGGGGCGGCAGGCTCGTGCCGCGACGGCCCCGGCGCTGGCCTCTGACGCCGCCCGGGCGCGACAGCGACCTCGGACTCCGCCGCGCGCGCGCGGCCCGCCCGGCACGAGCGAGGCAGGCATCCGAGCGACGAGCAAGGACGGGCCTCGCGCGAGACGGCACAGCTGGGGGGGCCACACGCGAGCCCTATAGCCCTACCCCCCACGAGTTCTGAGGGGGAGGGGGGGGGGTCACTTCGTCCCCTAACCCCCCCGAGCGAAGTGAGCCCCACCCTCCCCCAACAGAACTCGCGGGGGGTAGGGGGGTATAGGCTTCGCGTGTGGCCCCCTAACAGCGACCTCACGCGGTGGCCTGCGCGGGCCGGCCGCTCGGCACGGCACCTCGGGAAGCGGGGGGGCGCCCATACGCGCGACTTTGCGGGGGCAGCTCGCGGGTGGGGGCCAGTCCACGGGGCCCTGAGAACCCCAGGACGTCTATGGACCATGGACTTTTGGAGTGGGCACATCGCGCTCTCCCCGTCGCACAACCATCGAAACCGCAGACACCCAAACACGAACTTCCGGAGGTCGTCGCGGAATGGGGGCCTAGCGCCGATCCGATAAGTCCGCGCAGAGCTCGCCTTCCCCAAGCTTGCATCCGGGCACTTCGCAGCGCCGCCACCCCGCTTGCCCGAGCGCGCGTGCGGACCGCCTCTGCCGCGCCGCGGCTTGACTAAAGCTGAAGGGGCCCAAGGACACAAACAAATGCACGCCAATGCCAGGATTCCCCATATTTTCCCATATGTCTTGAATTTTCGTCTTCCCCCCCACTCCCCATATTTTCCAACATTTTCCTGGAAATCGACGATGAATTGTTTTTGTTTTGCCCATGAACGCGAGCCGGCAATGTGTGTGTGGTTCCAACACGGCGCGGCCTAATTGAAAAAGCCGGTCTTCTGTAACACTCCGGGGTGTGAGAAGAGTGCTGCACAGGGAGGAGCCACCGAGGAAATCGCCCAGGCAGGCCAGCGAAACGATGGCACCAGGCAGAAGTGGAAGCCTCACACTCGAAGTTCGAGGAAGAGCTCCACTACAGAATTCATCATTGCCCGGGCGAGGGGTCGATCGACGATGACTTGTGTCTGTGTCTTTCTTTCCCTTCTGAAAAACGTCGGGGGGGATGAGGGGCCGAGAGTCTGGGGCGGGGGGGCGGGCGCGCCTCCGCGGCGAGCAGCAGGGGCGTCGCGCCCGCCCGCGTCCGCCGGTCCTGGGAGGACGGCGGCTATCGTTCGGGGAGACGCAAGGACTCGGGCACGGGGGACCCGGTTAAGGCCTGACGTGCGGGCAAGAGTTATATCCACATCCAGTGCGTCTTGGATTCTTGGGCGCTCTTCCCCAGAAACCGTAGACGCACTGGATATGGATAAAGATCTGGCCCCAAGAGGCTTGATTTTGTCCATATCCAGTGCGCCTCGGCGTTGCGGCACCTCTTCCCAAAAAGTCCACGACGCTCTGTATATGGATATAAGTACTGCCCGCATGACGGGGCCACCATGAAAATGACGGGACCCAATCTGAAACTTGGCGCGAGCTCCCGCTGCAAGCATCCCACGTAAACAGGACCGTCAAAATCCAAGACGCGCTCGCCAAAAAACGTCGGCAAACCCGAGTTTCGGCTTACTCGAGTCTTACGCTTCGCTTCCCCGAACAATCGGGCCTGGGGCAGGACGAAGACAGGACGAAGATAAAATCGGCAGGAGGCCACATGCGAACCCTACCCCACCACCCCACGATCCCCCTTAGAAATCGTGGGGTGGTGGGGCAGGGTTCGCATGTGGCCTCCAAATCGGGTAAGGATAAATCGAGCATCTCTGAGTCCCGGCGGATCTGGAGGATGCCTCAAGCGCCGCGGCCTTCTTACAGCGTTCCGGAGCGCTCTGGGAGCGTCCTGGAACGCTCGGCACCGGCCTTGTCCTCGCCCCGGCCCCGCCCGAAGCGTCCCTCGAGAACACGAGACCCCCTGCCAGCCGAAGCGCACAGGACGTCCGAGGGGCACCCTCCACCGGGGTGCACACGAGGACACCCGCCGGGCACGACGAGCATCGCCCCCCCCCCCGAGCCGACCTCGCCCCTGCGCCTCGGTCCGACTGCGCGCACCCGCCGCGAGCCCGGCCAGGCCCTCACCCTGGGGTGCACGAGGACACCCGCCGGGCACGAAGGAACGTCGGGCGCCCCCCCCCCCCCCCGGAGCCGACCTCGCCCCTGCGCCTCGGCCCGACGGCACGCACCCGCCGCGGGGCCGGCCGGGCCCTCGGCCTTTGGCGGGGAGAGAAGTATAGGGGGCCACATGCGAACCCTAACCCTATACCCCCCACGACTTCTGAGGGGCAGGGTGGGGTCCACCTCGCTCGGGACCTTCCCTCGGGAGCTCCCGAACGAGGTGCACCCCACCCCACCCCCTCAGAAATCGTTGGGGGTAGGGGTAGGGTTCGCACGCTGACCTTCCAGGAGGGCTAAAAAATAACACCCGACATAAAAACCTATCCCAAAGCTATTCTACATCTTGGTTTTAGGCTGTTTCGCTAAGTTGTTTAGGTTTTTAGGCCTCCAGTGCTAAAAAATAGCTCTCTGGAAGGTCGGGGCATGCGGCCCCCTTAATAAGACCGCCCGGCGGCACGCCGCCGCCGGGAGCGCCCGTCGGCGAGCAGCTGCTCCTCCGCTCGTGCTTGCGAGGCCCCGGCGCTGCGGCCACGGCAGGCACCCCGCGGGGCTCCCCGCGGGGCGGCGTCACCGGTGCCGCTCGGCGGCGAGCCCCGGGGGGGACGAAGAGAGGAGGAGGAGAAGAGGCCGCCGCGGAAGGCTCGCGAGTCCCCCATCGGCCCTCCGAGGAGTCGTCTGGGCCTCCCGCGAAGACACGGCCCACCTCTCGGGAGGCGCGAGGGCCTCTGGGCAGTCCCGCCGCCTTCCGAGAAGGCCTTCTCCTCCTCCCGGCGCCCCCCCGCTCGCCGCCGAACTGTGGTTGCTCTCCGACTCCTGGCCTGGGCAGGAGCTGCGTACCCTGAGATCCGACGCTGCGAAAAAAATGCCGCATCGCAGAAATCGCGACCGCAGCCCCACGAGCCCGTGTTTCTGCGGCATGGCTCGAGCCAGATCTATCAGTGAGAAAAAATCGGCGGCGAGCCAGGGGGGAAGTGCGAAGGAGAAGGCCTTCTCAGAAGGCGGCGGGACTTCTCATAATTCTCCGCGCCTTCAGAGAAGTTCTGTTCCCAACCATCCTGTGGTGCTCGGTCCTCATTTTGATGAGACGGCGCCCCTCATTCTCCTCCTCCCGCCACCTTCCTCCCCCTCCTCCCTCCCTTGCCTCTGCCCTCCGCATGTATCTGTTCCGGCACACCCCATCACACGTTTCGTGGGCCCATAGGGAGATCCACCGAAGGCCCCAGTGGCAAAATTCGCATGGCGGCCACGCCCCATGTCGGCACACCCCTCCCACGCTTCGTGGCCCAATAGGGAGCTCCACTGACGGCCCCAGTAGCAAAATTCGCATGGCGGCCCCGCCCCATTTCGGTGAACCCCTCACACGCTTCGTGGCTCCATGGGGAGCTTCACCGAAGGCCCTAGTGGCAAATTTCGCATGGCGGCCTCGCCCCATGTCGGCGCACCCCTCACACGTTTCGTGGCCCCTTTGGAAGCTCCACGGACGGCCCCAGTGGCAAAGTTCGCCTGGCGGCCCCGACCCATTTCGGCGCACCCCTCACACGTTTCGTAACCCCATGGGAGCTCCACCGAAGGCCCCAGTGGCAAAGTTCGCATGGCGGCCCCGCCCCATGTCGGCGCACCCTTCACACGTTTCGTGGCCCCATGGGGAGCTCCACCGAAGGAGCCAGTGGCAAAGTTCGCATGGCAGCCCCGCCCCAATTCGGCGTACCCCTCTTTCGTGGCCCCATGGGGAGCTCCACTCAAGGCCCCAGTGGCAAAGTTCGCATGGCGGCCCCGCCCCATTTCGGCGCATCCATCACACGTTTCGTGGCCCCACAGGGAGCTCCACCGAAGGCCCCAGCGGCAGGGTTCGCAGCCACCGAAGGCCCCACTGGCAGGGTTCGCATGGCGCCACCGCACCCATTTCGGCACATCCCTCACGCGTTTCGTGGCCCCACAGGGAGCTCCACCGAAGGCGGGGCTCACAACTGCAGTACTCACAATTGCATATGGTTGGGTCCTTCGCCAAGATAACTGTTGTTTTCGGGGGAGGCTTACAAAACTTCTCAGACGGCCGAGGGACTTCCGAGCCTTCTGAGAAGGCCTTCTCCTTCTCACGTCCCCCCCTCGCTCGCCGCCGAAAAAATGCAACGCCTTGATCTCAAGGTATCTCGATCCTAGGCTCAGGATCGGCCTGGCCAAGATTGGTTCGGGTGCACGGTTCTCTCCGTCCGATGATTAGGGATCCACAAGATTGAAAGGGCCCTGGGACACACAAATAAATCGACACAACTCCTAGGCCCCCATCTTTCCCCATATTTTCTGGGTTTCGTCTTTCCCCCCCACTTCCCATAGTTTCCCATATTTTCCTGGGAGTCGACAACGAATTGTGTCTGTCTGTTTTTTTCCCCTCCTGAAGCGTACTGATACCAACACTCCACGAACCTCTCCCTGAGCGAGTTCTGACCCGAATCTCGACGAGAGCCCAGACGCGGCGACGAGGAATTTCCAGGACGAGCAGCGGGATCGGTGCCGTCTCCATGAGATCCGACCTCACCAAAAATACAACAACCAAAAACACGACTCGACCGAAGCCCTGGAGCCAGATCGATCCGAAATTGTCCCATACGGGTCCTGGTCTATGTGGCGCAGCTATGGTTTTGGACGCCCGAAATAAGTACAAAGACAATGGGTACTATGCCCGACAACAAGTGTTGTCCCGAACCGACAGCGGCCGCTGTTGGGCAGGCGGCCTTCGGTCTCAAGTGGACAGCGACCGCGGCGACGCGGACAACGAACCCTGCTCAGAATGAACAAGAGCTGCTGTTCCACCGGTGCCCTAGTGGACGATCGCTGGGCACGCCCCCCAAGGGGGACGGAAATGGTGAAACGAGTCGATCCTTGAAACAGGAACGCGCTCAAGGTGGATTGGCATCTGGGACTCCAAACAAACCTACGGTGCCGATTTTAACACGTGCTCCGCGTGCAGATTATGTATCAAAAATGCAGGGCTTTGGTGCTAAGAACAACGATGAGTTCATGCATCAATTTATCCATAAATTAATCATGTATTACAAATCCTACGTTGTTTAATTAAAAAATCTCTCATGTATTAAAACATGCCCTGTACTTTCAACGACCGATGGGCACCCTGCGAGAGAGCGCAGGGTGCAGTCCGGGGGCGCAGCTCCAGGGCAGCGGGTGAGAGCAAGCACGGGCGCGCGCGGCGGGCCAGGCGGAGCGGGAGGGAGCGAGAGAGGGGGCCAGCACCACGACAGGAGGGGGCTGGCGCGGGGCGGCGGAGCAGGGCGAGCGGACATCGACGAGCAGCAAACTGACCCCTTGCCCTTTGGGAGGGGGCTTAACCCCAGAGACCCGACGTCGTGATTTTTTCAAGACGGGCCCTCCAGAAGTCTCGACCCATTCCCCAGGACCGGCTTCTCGTCCTGAGTCGTTTCTGGACGCTCCCGGGGCCCGGTGAGGGCCCCCAGAGGCCGAAAAAAGCGAAAAGCCTCCCGTCGTGTTTGTTGTTCACAGCGCGAGGGGGTCTGGGCCTGGTGCCCTCCGCCGGTCCACGTCGACCCTGGCGGCGCACAGAAGCCGCACCACCGCCGCGTGGCCCGCCTGCGCAGCGGCCGCGAGGGGCGTGGCGCCGGCCTCGCAGGCCGCGCTGGCGTCGCCCCTCGCCTCGCACAGGAGCCGAACGACCTCTCGGCGCTGCGGCGCAGAGAGGGCGAGCGAGGAGGAGCAGGAGGAAGAGGAGGAGGAGGAGGAGGAGGAGGAGGAGCCAGGAGGAGGAGGAAGAGGAGCCAGGAGGAGGAGGGAGAAAAACGGGGAGGAGGAGGAGGAGGAGGAGGAGGA